GCCTGTGTGTGCGTGTGTCAGTGTCTCTGTCCCCCTCCCCCTTGTTGTGGGAGACACAGTGAATGTGTCAGTGTGTCTCGTTCCCCCTTGTTGTTGGAGACAGAGAGTGAGAGTATGTGTGTCAGTCTCCCCCCTCCCCCGCATTGTTGTTGGAGACAGGGAACATGGCAGAAAAGCTGAAATACCCTTTTACAATAGAAGCCTGTGTGTGCGTGTGTCAGTGTCTCTGTCCCCCTCCCCCTTGTTGTGGGAGACACAGTGAATGTGTCAGTGTGTCTCGTTCCCCCTTGTTGTTGGAGACAGAGAGTGAGAGTATGTGTGTCAGTCTCCCCCCTCCCCCGCATTGTTGTTGGAGACAGGGAACATGGCAGAAAAGCTGAAATACCCTTTTACAATAGAATAAACATGAATCCCTGGCATGGATGCTTTGCGGCATCCTGGTAGGAGCCTCTAAATTAAAAAGTGTTGCACACTGTGTAATCTCGCAGCCCCTGTGCTTAAACTCCTGGGAACCTGCTGCCACATAGCACAATTATTATGCCAGCACATTTCATCTGGAAAGGTTTTCTTCTTGTGCAAATCTGTGTCATCCAAATAGTCACCAGGATTCTTTTTGTTGATGTTGAGACCAAGGGGAAGAAAGTTTTTTTCCATCCAGCATGTCTTCCCAAAACTAAAGCAACAGAGTTTCTTGTTTAGCAGAAGGGAGGAGTTCTTTGCAAAAGAAATGTACAGCACCTGAGGTTATAACCCTTACGTTATCTGCCTTTTGTTGTTGGTCTTTCTTTTTCCACTGAGCAATATGCTGATACTGATTTTAAAGTTATCATTTGTTGAAATTCTGGCTGGGAGAGCTCAGCAAAGTTTAGGATTCACCAGTACTCTGGACTATTTTCAAGAGTTCTGTGGATATGTCAGAACACTTTAAAACTTCAAAAAAAAATTTTTTTCCCAAAGGCAGGGAGAGGGAAATCTTCCATCTACCCCATGTAATGTCTTGGTCTCTGGTGCTATGACTTTATTAATATTTCATAGAATAATTGTCAAAGTTAGACAGGACTCACAGATTTTGTCAGACCGCTCTGTTTATTCAGCAAAGCTGCTCTGCCAAATTAACCCAGAAAATGTGAGTACCATACAGGGTTCAAACCCCTTGATTTATACAGTCAAAAGAAAGCCAAGTTAACAGGATTAAAAGGAGAGGCAAAACTTCACATGATTAGTGTGAGACTTAGTCAAGTATTTTCATTTCAACATCAAGCACACAGCAATCTCCGGTCCATATCTCCCTGGTTATCTCTAATTGCTTTCTGCTTAACACTTAATGTTCCTTTTCCTGTTAACTCAGGCCCACCTGGCTACCACATTGATCTGCATACCTACAAACAACATTAACATACTTTTCTTCTTCCTGTTCCGAGACAAACAGTATTCCTTCAACTTATTCAATTATTACAGCACAATTCATCTTTCTCTTACATTATAATTCTTTCTACTTTCACACATAGAACACTAGAACTGGAAGGGACCTCTAGAAGTCATTGAGTCCAGTCCCCTGGCCTCACGGTAGGACCAAAAGTACCATCTACACCAGGGGTACTCAACATGTGACTTGTGGACCATATGCGGCCCACGGTCCATTTGTTTGAAGCCTGTGGTGCGGTTTGGGTTTATGCGATGCTCAATACGCGGCCCACGGGTGGGATCCTTTGAACGTGGCCTCCACTGGGAACATGCTCCACAACGGCGAGTCAATGTAATGGTCTTCTGTTGATATGCATTTTAGTAGTTACATTCCTGGATTGTCATTGCTCATTAAAAGTGCTGTCATATGGGTGGAAATCATGTCAATATTGCATTTTATTAATATCAACAGAACTGACTTAAATGGGGCCTGCATGTTGTGTAGTCTTGCCTTAATCTTCGTATTCATGCGTCAGTGTGAAAGAAGCTATTTGCATATATATTTGCATGTAACTTATACACTTAAGTTGCGGCCCTCGGCATGTGCTTTGAGTATCACTGTGGTCTCCAGGGCTTCCAAAGTTGAGTAGCTCTGATCTAGATCATACCTGACAGATGTCTATCTAACCTCCTAAATATCTCCAGAGGTGGAGATTCCACAACCTCCCTAGGCAATATATTCCAGTGTTCAACCACCGTGACAGGAAGTTTTTCGTAATGTCCAGCTAAACCTCCCTTGCTGTAGTTTAAGCCCATTTTGCTCCTTGTCCTGTCATCAGAGGTCAAGGAGAACAATTTTTCTCCCTCCTCCTAACACCCTTTTAGATACCTGAAAACCACTATCATGTCCCCTCTCAGTCTTCTCCTCTCCAAACTAAACAAGCCCAATTCTTTCAGCCTTCCTTCATAGGTCATGTTCTCTAGACCTTTAATAATTCTTGTTGCTCTTTTCTGGACCTTCTCCAATTACTCCACATCTTTCTTGAAATGTGGTACCCAGAACTGGACACAATATTCCAATTGAGGCCTCATCAGTGCACAGTAAAGCAGAGTAAAAGTAAAGACTTTTAATGTCTTGCTCACAACACTCCTGTTAATGAATCCCAGAATCGTGTTTGCTTTTTTTGTAACAGCATCACACTGTTGACTCATATTTAGCTTGTGGTCCACTATCACCCCTAGATTGCTTTCTGCAGTACTCCTTCCTAGACAGTTGCTTCCCATTCTGTATGTGTCAAACAGATTGTTCCTTCCTAAGTGGAGTACTTTGAATTTATTCTTATTAAACTTCGTCCTATTTATCTCAGACCATTTCTCCAGTTGGTCTAAATCATTTTGAATTATGACTTTATCCTCCAAAGCAGTTGCAACCCCTACCAGCTTGGTATTATCTGCAAACTTAAGAAGCATACTCTCTATGCCAATATCTAAATCATTGATGAAGATATTGAATAGAACTGGTCCCAAAACTGACCCCTGCAAATCCCCACTTGTTATGCCCTTCCAGCATGATTGTGAACCATTTATAACTACTGCCTGAGAATAGTTATCCAGCCAGTTATGCACCCACCTTATAGTAGCCCCATCTAAGTTGTATTTGCCTAGTTTATTGATAAGAAGATCATGTGATACTGTATCAAATGCCTTATTAAAGTCTAGGTATACCATGTCCACCACTTCTCCTTTATCCGCAAGACTTGTTATACTATCAAAGAAAGCTCTCAGATTGATTTGACATGATCTGTTCATTACAAATCCATGCTGGCTGTTACCTATCACCTTATTTTCTTCCAGATATTTGCAGATGAATTCCTTAATTACTTGCTATGTTATTTTTCCTGGCACAGAAGTTAAACTGACCGGTCTGTAGTTTCCTGGGTTGTTCTTATTTCCCTTTTTATTTTCTAACCCATGAAAGCTCATCACTGAATAAACTATCTTGTTAGTCTTTATAGTGCTACATAATTTTTTCCCTTTTGTTTTACCAAGATCAGACTAACACGGCTACATCTGTATTACTTTTTATAGATGGGGACTATACTTGCTCTTTTCCAGTGTTCTGGAATCTCTCCTGTCTTCCATATTTTTCAAAGATGATAGCTAAAGGCTCAGATACCTCTTCTATCAGCTCCTTGGCTGTGTCTACACTGGCATGAATTTCCGGAAATGCTTAAAACGGAATACTATTCTGTTTTCAGTTTTTCCGGAAAAGGAGCGTCTACATTGGCAGGCTGCTTTTCCGGATGCTTTTCCGGAAAAGCATCTGTGGCCAATGTAGACACGCTTTTCCGGAAAAGGGCCCCGATCGCCATTTTCGCAATCAGGGCTTTTTTTCCGGAAAAGACTACTGGGCTGTCTACACTGGCCCTTTTCCGGAACAGTGTTCCGGAATAAGGACTTATGCCTGAGCGGGAGCAGAATAGTTTTTCCGGAATAGCGGCTGATTTTGTACAGTAGGGCATCGTTGCTATTCCAGAAATTCAAGGGCCAGTGTAGACAGCTCGCAGCTTATTCCGGAAAAGCGGCTGATTTTCCAGAATAAGTGGTCCAGTGTAGACACAGCCCTTGAGTATTCTAGAATGCATTTCAGCAGGCCCTTGTGACTTGCAGGCATCTAACTTTTCTATGTAATTTTAACTTGCTTTTTTAAAATTTTATCTTCTAAACCTACCCCGTTTCCACTACCATTCACTATGCTAGGCATTCCTTCATCATCAGACATCTTGGTGAAGACCAAAACAAAGAAGTCATTAAGCACCTCTGCCATTTCCAAGTTTCTTGTTATTATTTCTCCCTCTCATTGAGCAATGGGTGCAATTTGTCTCATCTAGCTTTGTCTGAATATTTTGACATTCAAGTACTTTTTGGTTGACATGTATGAACTCATCTTTTAGATATTTCTCAGTTGGAATATAAGTGTTTAAATTATGTTTCTGTTCCCAGTGTCTAGGCCTCCTCTTATACCTGCCATCTGCTCAAGAGTAAACATTTGTGAAATAGTGTGGGAGGACATTAAGCCAGTTCTCCTATTATTTCAGGAAATACAAGTTGACACACAATTTATTTTGACAATTATAAAATCCCAGTTAATCAGTTAACTGGTTAAACCATTTTCTAAGCGTACATGATGCAATAGAATACACACTATATTTAGATTTAAAAATGTTCAGTAAAATATGAAAGATGCAGGTAATCATCATTTTTATCCATATATGTTCAAAATGTTTTACAAAGGAAGGTAAGTTTCAATAAATTATGACATCCAGAGGTTGATAAAATATATTAGCACATAGTTTTGGGATATTGTACATTACGGAGATATTGTGAATTTGCATATGTACGGTATAGCTTACTGAAAAACAGGCCCCTATTATATCTGTTGTGAAAAGTATTAATATTTGTAACTTATGCTATACATTTTCATAGCATTTTATAAACATGAATGAATGAAGTTTCATAACTCCATGAGGGAGGTAAGTATTATTCCTGTTTTACAAATGAGGAAATTGAAGGCTTTTAGAGTTTGTCTTCACTGCAGAGTTAATTAGGATTGTAACTTGAGTGTTGCCCCTTGAGTTCTGTCCACATACACAAATCTGTAAGCTGGTTTGCCTCTTGGAATATAGGTTATTGCTCTGGTTAGCATGGCTCATCATCAGTTTATATCAGTGGTTCTTAACCAAGGGTTTTTGTGTCCCCCTTCTTAGTGTATGCACAGATTTTCTAGGGGGCACATCAACTCATCTAGATATTTGCCTAGTTTTACAAGGCTGTATAAAAAGCCTGGCCAAGTCTGTACAAATTAAAATTTAATACAGAAATAGGACTGCTGACAGCAATTCTAGGCCTCAGGGCAAGTCAGTGGCCCCCACACATACACAAGCTGCACCTGCATGAATGTGGTCTGCCTGACATTTGGAGAGTGCTGTGCCTGTGCTGGCTGGTGCCTAGTAAACTGCTGGCTGCGCTTCTGAGCATGTTCTTCTGGCACGGTCAGGGCTTCCACATGCCCAACCATAAGGCTGACAACTGTCTAACTGTGCAAACCCAAAGACCCTTCCTTGCCTTGCCTCTACCCTGCCTCCTCTTAAGGATCTGCCCCTCCCCCACTCACTCCATT